AACCCTAGTGCTGCTTTTTATAATTTTTTTAATGCATACAAATGTGTTTTGCCTGCATGTATGTAAATGTACCACATGCATGCAATGCCCACAGAGTCCAGAAGAGGGCATTGGAGCCCCTGGAACTGAAGTTGATTGTGGTGACCTGCCATGAGGGTGTTGGGAACCGAACCTGGGTCCTCTCAAGAGTAGCCAGTGCTCTTAACCACTGAGCCAGGTCTCTAGCCCCAGCCTATGTCAAATTTTAATTTTGGAGATGAGCCAACTGGGTGAGGTTGGCCTGGCTCTGAGTCTGTGGGGCAGGCAGTCCATGTGTGTGGCCTTGAGGGTAGGGCTATGACACTTGGGAGGACCCCATGGTGAGGGCAGCCATGGGCAGAGGAAGGATGCCAGATGAGCTTGGTGATGCTTACTCTAGGCACAGTTGTGTATAGAAGTGACAGGCGATGGCTGTGCTGCCCAGGGCTGTGGTCCTTGGGCCCATGGGAGCCATGGCAGGTTATAGACTAGGGAGGGATACACCATGGAAGAGAGTCTAGAGTCTGGCAGCAGTGCTGAGGTGGTCTTGGGAAAAGGAAATGGTAGCCTTGATTTAGCTGTCCCCCTCCTCGACCTGGTTTTTTTGGGCTCCCAGCATCTCTGTTCTCTGGCTGTGAAAACAGAGACCAGAGTCCTAGTCTGCTTTCTATTGCTGTGATAAATCACTGGCCAAAACCACCTTGGGGGGGCGGGTTATTGCTTCTAACCCTTCAAGTAACAACCCATCTTTGAGGGGAGTCAGGCAGGAACCTGGAGGCAGGAGCTGAAGCAGAGACCACAGAGGAAGGCCGCTTACCACTTGCTACTCTGGCCTGTGCTCAGCTCAGCCTGCTTTCCTATACGACCCAGAACCCCCTGCCCAGGGGTGGCACAAGCCACAGTGGGCTGGACCCTCTCCCACATCACTGAGCAATCAAGAGAATGCCTCACAGGCTGGAGAATTGACCCAGCAGTTAAGAGCACTGGCTGGTCTCATAAAGGACCTGGGTTTGATTTACCAGCACCCATATGGTAGCTAACAACTGTCTATAACTCCTGTTCCAGGGGATCTGACACCCTCTTCTGGCCTCCATGGGCACTGCAGGCTTGGGTGCACTTACACACATAGATGAAAGAAAATGCCTCATGAGCAAGTCCAGAGGCCAGTCCCATAGAGGAAATTCCCCAACTAAGGTTCCCTCTTCCCAGGTGTGTCAAGTTGACAAAAGAAGCCAACCATGACTGCCTCCCCATGGCCACCCAGTCCCAAGCATTGCTGAGAGACCCTATATGGGTGCTAGACAGAGGCTGGCTGTGGGGCAGAGGCAGAATGGGATTTGACGGAGCCTTTCCACAGGTTCAAGGGCATCAAGAAGGGTGGGGTGACTGAGAACACGGCCTACTACATCTTCACACAATGTCCTGACGGGGCCTTTGAGGCCTTTCCTGTGGACAACTGGTACAACTTCACACCTTTGGCCCGGCACCGCACACTCACAGCAGAGGAGGCAGAGGAGGAGTGGGAGAGGTGAGCCTGCAGGGTCAAGATGGGGAAATGGGGTGTCACTGTAGACTCCCCAGGTGAAGACCTGGCCTGCGCTCAGAGCTCAGTGCTCACCTGAGCAGACCTGTCTCACCTGCCTGAGGCCCCCCAGTTCGAACCCTGAAGGTGGGGGTGGCAGGTAGAGGGAAAGGGTCACGGGACATGTCAGGGAGGCGGGAGCAGAGAAAGATAGTGCAGGGTCTCTTGGTACCACTAAGGTCGGGACCTGTGTGTCATCAAGGACTGGGGGGTCACTCTGATTCCCCAAAGAACTGTGGACAGATAGGGTGTTCTCAAGAGGCCAGGGCCCCTGGAAGCTCAAAAGCACCTTCCCCTTTGTTCCACCATTTAGTATATTTAAAATGGTTGGAGTCGGGTGTGGTGGTGTACGCCTTTAATCCCAGCACTCTGGAGGCAGAGGCAGGCGGATCTCTGAGATGGAGGCCAGTCTGCTCTGAGTACATGAATAAAATCAATTAATTATGGGGCACGGTGGCACAAACCTGCCATTTCAGCATTCAGGGGGTGGAGGCTGGAAGAGTGGGAGTTCAAGGTCAGCCTCTAATACACAGGGCGTTTGAGGTCAACCTTGGTTATATGAGACCAGGTCTCAAAAAACAAATATAGGCTGGGCATGGTGGTGCATGCCTTTAATCCCAGCACTCAGGAGGCAGAGATAGGCAGATCTCTGTGAGTTCAAGGCCGGTGTGGTCTACATAGTTCAAGACCAGGGGCTATGGGAGCCCCTGTCTCAAAAAGACCAAAAAACCACACAGAATATGTGGTGTGGTGGTGCACACCTTTAACACCCGTACTCGGGAATTAGGAAGCAATGACATGCAGATCTCTGTGAGTTTGAGGCTGGCCTTATATAGCGAGTTCCAGGCCATCCAGGGATACATGGAGACCCTGTCTCTAAACAAAAAAATTATTAACTGACAAAAGTGATGACTGGATTTGCCTGAAGCCAGCCCTGAGCCTGGAGGAGCTGAGTGTCCATTCTGGTTTCTCATGACCCAGGGACATCCTTATTTATTTAGTTATTTAGTTATTAGATATTTTAAAGAATTCTTAGAAGTTTTACAATTTTTTACAGCTTTTTATTGCATTTTTTGTGATTTTTTTTAAACAATGTAATTTGATGGTATTTAGATCTACTATCTGCTTCCCTCTCCCCACCTCCCTCCACTGCCTGTTTTTTTTTTTTTTTTTTGAGACAGGGTCTCCCTGTAGCCTCAGCTGGCCTGGCGCTCTCTATGTAGACCATGCTGGTCTTGATCTCACAGAGATCTGCCTGCCTCTGCCTCCAAGCGCTGGGATAAAAGGTGAGTGCCACCACACCCAGCATTCCTCTTTAATTTTGGTGGCCTAGGCTAGCCAGAAACATGCTATGTAGCCCAGGCTAATCTTGATCTTACACAAATCCTCCAGCATCAGGCTCCCCTAGGACTGCATCCCACCCAGCTGCATCCTCTGTGTAGGTTGTCCTGGGGCCAGCCACATTTTTCCTTTTGCAGGTGTAGGGGCAAGCCCAGCAAAGTGACCTGGTCACTGTCCCCTGCCTTAGTGGCTGTTTCCCCCTTCCCCTCTTTGAGCAGCCCCCTCATCCCCTCTCCCCTGCCAGAACAGCAGCTCTCTTACCCCTGTTCCCTACCTCAGTGGCCCCCTCACCTATCACCCCTAAGTGCCCCTGTCTCTCCCCTTAACCCCCGTCCCCCACAGGAGGAACAAGGTCTTGAACCACTTTAGCATCATGCAGCAGCGGCGGCTCAAGGACCAGGACCAGGATGAGGATGAGGACGACAAGAAGGAGAAGCGCAGCCGCAAGAAAAGCAGTGAGCTGCGCATCCACGACCTGGAGGACGACCTGGAGATGTCCTCAGATGTTAGTGATGCCAGTGGAGAGGACGGTGAGGCGGGCGCACAGGGACGCAGGATGGGTGATGCCACTGGGGGTGATCATGGCAGCTCGTGGGGAACTGGGGAAAAAGGGCCATAGTCACCATACCTCCCTTGTGGGGTGTGCTGCGATTGGACAGTTTGGATAGCCAAGGCCACTGTGCTGTGGCAAGCCACACCTCACGGCCTAGGTGACTATGGGTAGATTTTTTTAGTGAGTGGATGACAGGGACTGGAATGAGGTTTCTGGGCTGAATCATGTACCTATGAAGGGTGAGTGTCCAGGCTAGTTCCTACCTCCACTAAGAATTGGCTCAATCTAGGTGCAGCCCCTGTCATCACCAGAGGTCACCAAGAAGTTAGGACATCATAGTACATGAAAGACACTGGGTATCATGCTGTGTGTGTGAGCACAGCATTCAGGAGGCCAAGATAGGAAGACCAGGAGGTCAAAGCCAGCCTTGGCTACATGGGCCCTATGTGAAAAAAAGTTGTGTGGCTCAGTAGTAGAGCCCTGCTTAGAATCCCCCAGTGAGGGGCTGGGGGCGTGGCTTAGGAGTAGAGTGACAGCCTTGTATGTGAGCACAAATGAGAACAGAGAGCTGGGTATGGTGGTGCATACCTTTAATCCCAGCACTTGGGAAGGAGAGGCAGGAGGATTTCTGTGAATTCGAGGCCAGCCTGGTCTACCTAGTGAGTTCCAGGACAGCTGGAGCTACAAATGGATGTGATGGCCACAATGCCTGAGCCCCTCTGTTCCCTGTCCACAGGCAACAGAGCTCTGAAGACCAAGAAGAAGACCCCGCTGACCAAGGCAGGCCGCAAGAAGAAGAAGAAGGGGTCAGATGACGAGGCCTTTGAGGACAGTGATGATGGGGACTTTGAGGGCCAGGAAGTAGACTACATGTCGGATGGCTCAAGGTGAGGCAGGCGGGAAATGGGTGAGGGAGGCCTGTCGCTGTGTGGACAACTGTGGTCACTGCTTGTCCTGTGCTCTGCAGCAGCTCTCCGGATGAGACAGAGGGCAGACCGAAGGTGCCGCAGCAGGAGGACGGCCCAAAGGGTAGGTTGGGCACCAGCTTGGGTGGTGTGGGGTGTCTGGTCAAGATCTCTGTTGCTCACACCTGTGTCCCAGGGGTGGACGAGCAGAGCGAGAGCAGTGAGGAGAGCGAGGAGGAGAAGCCGCCGGAGGAGGACAAGGAGGAGGAGGAGGAGAGGAAGGCTCCCACCCCACAGGAGAAGAAGCGCAAGAAAGGTGAGCTTGGCGTTAAAGGCCCCGGGAGAGGGACAGTGGGCAGGTGTGCCCCCTTGCTGGAGTCTACCCAATATGCTAGGGTGTTGGGTTCAGGGGTCTTGGCCACTGTGATTGTGACAGCCCCTCTGGCCACTACAGACAGCAGCGATGAATCTGACAGCTCTGAGGAGAGTGACATTGACGACAGTGAGACGTCCTCCGCTCTCTTCATGGCGGTAAGGCACAGCCCTGGGCTCAGGGACATGGATGATCAGGACCCAGCGTGCACTCACACTCCAATCCCACATCTATAGAAGAAGAAGACACCACCCAAGAGAGAGAGGAAGCCATCTGGGGGGAGCTCAAAGGGTAACAGCCGCCCCGGAACCCCCAGCGCAGAGGGCGGCAGCACATCTTCCACCCTGCGGGCTGCAGCCAGCAAGCTGGAGCAAGGTGAGTGGCTGGCCTGGTCCTGGGAGTGCAGGACCCAAGCAGCCCATGGTTCCCCATACTCCTGGTATCCCCAATCTTGGCCCCTCCTGGACCTGCCTTTGCTCTGTCACCTAGGGAAGCGGACAAATGACACCCCAGCAGCCAAGCGCCTACGGATGGACACAGCCCCCCAGAACCTGTCAGGGAAGTCCACTCCACAGCCACCATCCGGAAAGTCCACTCCCAGCAGTGGGTAGGTCAGGGGACAGGAAGCGGGAACCACAGGGCCTGGCCACAATGAGGATCTGTGTGACCCCTCCTTCATACCTCCTCTCTCCCTCACTCAGTGATGTGCAGGTAACTGAGGATGCGGTGCGACGCTACCTGACACGCAAGCCCATGACCACAAAGGACCTGCTCAAAAAATTCCAGACCAAGAAGACAGGGTTGAGCAGTGAGCAGACAGTGAACGTGCTGGCGCAGATCCTAAAGCGCCTCAACCCAGAGCGCAAAATGATTGGTGACAAGATGCATTTCTCCCTCAAGGAGTGACATCAATAAAGAGCTCTGCCCACACTGCAAATCCTTCACGGCCAGTGCACACGCTAGGGTCCCCTCACCAGGGCACAAAACTCCATTCTCCTTAGGAGGCAGCCCTACCCTGCCTGCCCAGCCCAGCTCTGTCTACAGTCAGGGCTGGTTCTCTGTGAAGCCTTGACCTGTTTAAATTTACCTGCTGGGACCTACGCATGGTAGGCGGGAGCTGTGTCACTCAATCACCCCCAGCCCCTCACTGGGGGATTCTAGGCAAGGGCTCTATGTACATGGGATGCCATTTGGAAACTCTTAGTTTCTACCAGCAGCCCAGCAAGTGTGGGCTTAGCATTGGGCTTTTTTTCTTTTTTGTAGTACAGTGATGGGGTTTAGGCATTCAAACTTGCTCATTCTTCCAAAGAGCTATACCCTCGGCTCTTTTTTACTTGTTTTTATTGTTTTATTGGGGTTTTGGTGTGTCGTCGTCCCCCCCCCCCTGCTTTTTTTTGGTTTGTGGCCCCAGCTGGCCTGGAACGATGGTCACTCTGTATACCAGGCTGACCTCAGTCTCACTGAGATCTGTCTGCCTTTGTCTTCCTAGTGCTGGGACTAAAGGCTTGTGCTGCCATGCCCAGCTTTTTTTGGGTGTTTTAAAAATAAGAGCTCATGGAGACTGGAGAGATGGCTCAGAGTTTAAGAACACTGTTCTTGTAGAATACCCAGTTTTAAATCCCAGCACCCACATGGCAGCTGACAACTATCTGTAACTCCAGTTCCAGGGGATCCGACACCCTCTTCTGTACTCCATGGACACTGCATGACACCGATGTACTTACATACATGCAGGCAATACACATTAACACATAAAAGAGCTGAGGCTGACCTGGGATGACAGGTATGTACTCTAACATGCCCCCCCCCCCCATACAAGCGCTTACTATGTAGCCCCAGCTGGCCTGGAACTTGCTGTGTAGACTGGGTTAGCCTTGATCTTATAGAGATCTGCCTGCTTTTGCCTCCCAAGTGCTGGAATCAAAGGTACCCAGGTTTTTTGAGACAGGGTCTCCGTGTAGCCCCAGCTAGTCTAAAATTCTGTAGACCAGGCTGGCCTTGAACTCACAAAGATGTGTCTATAGACACTCTGCCTCCCAAGTGCTGGGATTAAAGGCGTGCATCACCACACCTGGCTGTGTGCCCAGTTTTTACTTTGTCTTTGACAAAGGGTCTTGTGTAGCACAGGTTGTCCTGGGCCTGAGCTTCCCAGGGCTGAGGTAGCAGGTGTGTCTCTGGACCTAGCCTGGGCTTATTTGGGGCACTGTCCCTCATGGCCACAGGAATCCATCCCTCTTTCCCTGAGGTTGGCACCTGGACCCTATTTTCTGTTTCCTAGTGACATTCCTGCGTTCCACCCCTGCCCCCCCCCCCCAAATCTCAGGACAGACCAAGCAGTACATTTATTTTAGCCAGGCCAAGCAGGCGGTGCTCAGGGAGAGTGCTTTAAATTCTTGGATGGGAGCATGCCAAAATTGGTATTTGGCTGTAGACAGCACCTTGGAACCTGGTTGTAACCTGCTGCCTGGGGGATGTGGGCTTCCGGCTGTCTGCAGCAGGACCTTACTGCTGAAGAAAACCCACCCAGTTCTGCCCCTGGCTGCCGATCAGGAATGCCAGAGATGGCAGGCTAATTCCAGGAATGTCCCAGCTCACCAAACCCCCTCACAGCCTTCTGGCCTCTTTGGACCTCAGTCTACAGCGCCACCCCAGGGCAGGCAGTGTGGTTTTGGGGTTAGGGGCTGGGGCTTTGTGTACAGGGTGACCTGGTTCAAACTTAATTCTGAGTGATGAACTGGTTCAAACTTAATTCTGAATGATGAACAAGTGATTTAGGTTTTGAAATTCACGTTTGGGTTTGTTGGGTCTGTTTTTAATTTCACTATATAGCTCCAAATGAGCTGCAACTCCCTATGTAGACCAGACCAGCCTCAACCTCTGCCTCCCGAGTACTAGGATTAAAGGCATGCAACACCATGCCTGGCTTTTGTTTTTTGAGACAGGGTCTATTGTATCCCAGGCTAGCCATGAATTCACTATGTAGCTAAGGATGACCTTGGAATTCCTGATCCTTCTGTCTCCACCTCTCCAGTCTGGAATGGGGGTGCACTACCCCTGTTTTTTATGTGATACTGGAGATGGAAGCCAGGGCTCTGTGTGTGGTAGGTGAGCCTTCCACCCGCTGGGCCTCAGCCCCTTACTTGTAGTTTAAAGAAATATAGCTGGCACTGGGCGTGGTGGCGCATGCCTTTGATCCTAGCACTTGGGAGGCAGAGACAGGCGCATCTCAGTGAGTTCAAAGCCGGCCTGGTCTACATAGTGAGTTCCAGGACAGCTGGGGCTACAGGGAGACCCTGTGTCAAAAAGACCAAAAAAAAAAATAGCTGGCTATAGGGGTGCACACCTTTAATTCCAGCACTCAGGAGGCAGGGATGCCTGAAATCAAAGCTCACCTGGTCTACATAACAAGTTATAGGTCAGCTGGGGCTACAGGGAGACTGCTTCAAAAAGTTTTACTATTGTGTGTGGGCCTGCACATGCCATGTCATGTGGGAAATCAGAGGACTTTTTTTTTCTTTTTGAGACAGTCTTCATATAGCCCTAGCCAGCCTCCTGCCTCTGCTGGGACTTAAAGGTGTGTACTACTACGCCCGGTCAGAGGACAACTTTTGAAGGTCAGTTAATTCCATATGGATTTAGGGGATCAAACTCAGGTCATCAGATATGCCACACTTTGACCCACTGAGCCACCTCACCAGTTCCTGAGTTAGCCTCAGACTTGCAGCAGTCCTGCCTCAGCTTCCCAAGTGCTGGGCTACTGGGCATGCACCACCTGCAATCTCTCTCTCTTTCTCTAAAGTCCTTGGTCCATCTTTACCCTGCAGTGTTGATGACAGTCACTTCCCCTACTTCCTCTACACCCCTGGGTTCCGAAGCCACCAGGACCTGTGCATCCTGCAACCCTTTCTTGCCTCCAGCCTGTGCTGTAGTCATGTTGGCCTCTTCCAGATTCAGGAGTCCCTGGGCCCCACAGCCCCAGCCCTCCACTATCCCTGCCTCTCCCTCTTCCTGTTTGGATGGTGGCTCAGCCAGGCCCGGAGACAGGGTCGTGATGTGTTAATCTTCCTGCTGAGGCTGTAGTGGATAGGTGCCCACTGAGTCACCCACCTGCCATATGTTCATCCTGGTCCCCATCCAGCCCACCTAGCCCATATGGGGGGTTTCTGAGCCCTACACTTGCTTCTATGTGGAAGGGCTCCTAGTGCAGGACCCACAAAGCCCCCAACTTCTCCCACCAGCCAGCAGGTGGGATACTGGTTAGTGCAGGCTCCAGGCTTGGTTCTGCCTGATGGTGTGGCACTCATAAATCAAGGGATGTCCAGGGTGTTGGAAATGGAATGTCTGGGTAGGTGAGCCCTTAACTCTTAGTTAGCAGTCAGAACATGGGGACAAGCTGGCAGGACCCCAGTGCTTTCCCTTGGCGGTCAGGTTAATCCCCAGGACAGGGAGGGGATAAATTCAGGGGACCAGGCTCTCCACAGTTCCAGGACCTGCTTGTTGCAATGGAGGCCAGGAGACTCCTGCTCTGCGTTCTGTTGTTGCCCGCGCTGTGGCAAAGCCTGGGTGAGGGCCTTGACCCTCCGGGGGCTCTGGTGGTTGAAAAGGAGTTTTTGGAGCAGACGGCGGAGGCAGGAAGGACCTGGAGGCCACATCAGGGTAAGAATCCTGGGGGACTTCTGTGACTTCCAGACTCCTCTCCAAGACCCTGCTCTGCCTCACTGTCCTGTCTCCACCACGCTGCAGGTTCCTACCATCCCCATGTCCGCCTGCGCCGAGCCCCAGCGGGCCCGTGCCAGCTGTGGAGTCTGACCCTGAGGGTGGCTGAGCTGGGCCTGGGCTACACCTCAGAAGAAAAGGTCCTCTTCCGCTACTGTGCTGGCAGCTGTCATCGCGGGGCCCGCACACAGCATGGCCTGGCGCTGGCCTGGCTGCAAGGCCAGGGTCGAGCCCACGGCCAGGTTTGCTGCCGACCCACTCGCTACACTGACGTGGCCTTCCTTGATGATCGCCACCACTGGCAACGGCTGCCCCAGCTCTCAGCTGCTGCCTGTGGCTGTGGTGGCTGAGACAGGAGTCAGCCCGATGCCCCAGAATCATGAGCGTGGGCAGCATGGGCCTTGAAAGGCTTGGTGACATTTATTGGGAACCTCATACAGTGATGAGAGAGGGGAGCCTGGGACTGGGGCATCAACAATGAACACAATAAAAACATATTCTCTTGGCCTTGATGGTAGCCACCATGCTGTGTGGGCAGGTGTCACTCTGAGTCTCCCTGGCAGGTTACAGCCACAGCAGACAGCCATTTGATGATGCCTGTGTCATCCCTTCTCCAGTTTTATTCTCAAGTTCATTGTCCAGGGAATGGTCCCAGGGTTCTCAGGCTGGGGGTGGATGTCCCCGCCTCCCTAGCCCCATCCCCTCAGGGATGGAACGGCAGATCACTGAGATACGTCGGCCCCGGGGGACCTGGTGCTCCCCAAAAAATGATTCTTCATCTCGAAGGATCTCGTGGGAAAAATCATAGCGTGCTGGACCCCTGCAAGAAGGGACAGGCCGGTGGTGTGTGGAGGGCAGCCCTGTCCCTTCTCCCCTTCCTGCCTAAGGGGGCTCTCTACTATGAGAGCAAAAACAGAGAAGGGATTAGGCCCACGGCAGGCATCGGGCTTTTGGGGCTTCTTGGCTTTGCTGTACCTTAGGATGTAGAGGGAGCCAGGCTCCAGCAGCAGCTCCAGCCACTGTGCAGGGTCTTGGGTGTGCACCAGCTTCATGACACTGGGGGACAGCAAGGACAGGCCAGCAATGGTGGACCCACAGAACTAGAAGTACAGGGGGGCTCAGGGTGGGGTCCAGCATCCTGCCCACCTTCACCCCAATTGGGAGCTCTGAGGGGCTCAGGCTGGGGTCCAGCATCCTGCCCACCCACACCCTGACTGGGAGCTCTGAGGCCAGTGCTTTCTGCCCACCTTGATGCTGTCAACGTGGGGCTTGATGTATCCCCGAGGCTCAAGGTCTAACACATGGACCGGGGACAACAGAGTCTGATCAGGGGTAAAGGCCGCTGCCTGGACCCGCTGCAGGATGGCCCAGCTTATGTCTGACCAGCAGGACTTCTCTGTCTCCCGGAACCCATGGATAGCCTGCAAAGAGGTTTTAAGTCAAGCCTAAGAAATTCCAGGGCAGGAATACTGAGGAACAGAGGGGTAGAGTCAGGGCAAGCTGGATTTCCCAGCTTCACCTCAGAAGCTAGCCCTGAGCTGGCCCCAGGCCCTTCCAAGTCCCTAGTGCTACCCCAGCCCAGTATTCAGTGTCTGGGTCTCTGGGTTCAACTCCAGCCCCCTCAAGACCCTAGTGTACCCCCAATGGCAGGCATTCCCTCATCCCATTCTGTTTCGCCCTTAACACCCTGTGCCTCCACTTACCACCCTGGACTCACCTCCTAATGGCCCCATCTCCATCCTCAGCAGAGCCTGGCCCCAACAGGGCCTATTTCTAAGTGACCCCCATCTCCCTCTCAGATTCCAGGCCCAGCCCACAAATCTGCACACCATGCCCCCTCTTCTACCTACGACCCACAAGGTGATTTGCGCCACTGGAGCACTCCCCTGCCCTGTCCTGGCCCCCAATTCTCTGTACCGCCCTAAACTTAATCATGCTCCATTCAACCGGTTACTACACTGGCTCTAAGAACAACCACTGCAGATCCAGTGCACTGGGAATTTACAGCCCAGTCACCAGCCCAGGGTTGCATGTGCCTCCCCCAGTATGAACCCCACTCGGATACTGCACTGCCCAACACCCAATATTACAGGTCCCTCCGTCAGCATGCCACACAATGCCAACACTCCACTGCCCTGTACAACCGCCAATGGCCCAGGCCCCGTCCCCAATGCTTAAGGCCGCTCCCTAATGGTGATCCCGCCCCGTTAAGCTTCACTGACCTACACTCAAGCTCCAGGCCCCGCCCCAGCATGACTCTGAAGGTCTGAACCTCTGAGTTTCCACCTGTTTGGACCACGCTCCCACAGCCCTGCTCTATGTCCCACCCAAAGCCTCGTACCACCGCACCCACCGACCCAATCCCGTAACCCTCAGGCCCTGGTCCCTTATCTCAGTACTCTCCAGTGTGGCCGGCCCCATCTAGTGACAGGACTCCTGTTACTCTGTTACAAGTCTTGTCCCCAGCAAAGTTCCACCCAATTTAGTGACCTGACCTGTCACTCAGGTCCCACCCTCAGCGTGGCCTCATCGCCAGTCCCGCCCCAGAGTGGCCCTGACCCCACCAAGACCCAGTGCCCAGTCCCTCAGGCCTAGCTATCCCCTTAGCCCCGCCCCCTAGCCGGAGTTTCTACTTGTAGCCCCCCCGCTCCCC